TGTGTATATACATACACACATTTTAACGTTTGGCTATATCTGACATGACGTTTAATTATAACGACTACCCTTCGCGACCGAAAACAGCCCCCCCCCCCTTTTTTCGGTCCATCTCTCGCATCGAAACCGCCGATATCAAAATTAATTTCATTTCTGCGAATTTCATTCCATCCCTCACGAAAACGCGCCAGGAATAAAGCTTTTTCGTTATGTATCTCTTCGTAATGTAGATAACTACTTACTAACTCGATATTTGTATTTGTACATTAGATTATTGGAGTTTTATCTCAATGTTTCAAAAGGAAACATATTTTCTTGTAGAAGTAATGAACCTAAACCTTGAGTATTAGTATTAACTAACTGGTAGAAATTTTATTAGCTTATTACAAACAAAATTAATTAAAAGATTTTTTCCTAATGAAGTTTGAAAACGTAAAGTTACCACGACAATATTTGTACAAGCTTAATATTTGTATACGTATATTAACTTATATTAATATTTTTCTGCTAAATTTTGAAAATCTAATGCTGCCACCATACTATTTTGTAATGACTAACTGCTATACATTTGCATACGTGTATTAACTTCTTGTGAACAAAAGAATTTTTTGAAATATTTCAAATAAAATTTGTTTTTCTACCAAAGTCTGACAATGTAATGCTGCCACCACACTATTTCGTAATAACTATAACTGCTATACATTAACTTCTTGTAATCAAGATTTAAAAGAAAATTTGTTTTCTTATTGAAGTTTGAATATGTAATGCTGCCACCACACTATTTCTTAGAAGCTAATTGCTATACATTTGCGTACGTATATTAACTTCTTGTGAACAAAAGAAATTTTTGAAATATATCAAATAAAATTTGTTTTTCTACTAAAGTCTGATAATGTAATGCTGCCACCACACTATTTCGTAATAGCTATAACTGCTATACATTTGCATACGTATATTAACTTATTGTAATCAAGACTTAAAAGAAAATTTGTTTTCTTATTGAAGTTTGAAAATGTAATGCTGTCACCACACTATTTCGTAATAACTAACTGCTATACATTTGCATATGTGTATTAACATCTTGTGAACAAAAGATTTTTTTTTAATATTTCAAATAAAATTTGCTTTTCTACTAAAGTCTGACAATGTAATGCTACCACCACACTATTTCGTAATAACTATAACTGCTATACATTTGCATATGTATATTAAGTTCTTTTAATCAAGATTTAAAAGAAAATTTGTTTTCTTATTGAAGATTGTAAATGTAATGCTGCCACCACACTATTTCGTAATAACTAACTGCTATTCATTTGCATACGTGTATTAACTTCTTGTGAAGAAAAGAAATTTTTGAAATATTTCAAATAAAATTTGTTTTTCTACTAAAGTCTGATAATGTAATGCTGACACCACACTATTTCGTAATAGCTATAACTGCTATACATTTGCATACGTATATCAACATTTTGTAATCAAGATTTAAAAGAAAATTTGTTTTCCTATTAAAGTTTGAAAATGTAATGCTGCCACCACACTATTTCGTAATAACTAATTGCTATATATTTGCATATTTATATTAGCTTATTGCTGAAACAAAACATAAGTAAACATTGAAATATTTCCAAAAAAATGTAATATGGTTGAAATTTTGAAAATTTGCTCAAATTCATGATACAATACGTAAATTTCTTTGTGACTTACATCATGAAATTATATAATATTAAGTATATAAGAAAATTAGATATTTAAGTTAGTATTATTTGAATTTAGCATTTCGTAATAACTAACTGCTATACATTTACATACGTATATTAACTTCTTGTGAACAAAAGAAATTTTTGAAATATTTCAAATAAAATTTGTTTTTCTTCCAAAGTCTGACAATGTAATGCTGACACCACACTATTTCGTAATAGCTATAACTGCTATACATTTGCATACGTATATTAACTTCTTGTAATCAAGATTTAAAAGAAAATGTGTTTTCCTATAGAATATTGTAAATGTAATGCTGCCACCACACTATTTCGTAACAACTAACTGCTATATAGTTGCATATTTATATCAGCTTATTGCTGAAACAAAAACATAAGTAAACATTGAAATATTGCAAAGAAAAAAAATGTTATATGGTTCATAATACATAAATTTCTATATGACTTGCATCATGAAATATCAAATATGAAATATATATAATATCAAGTATATAAGAAAATTAGATATTTAAGTTAGTATTATTTGAATTCAGCATTTTAAAGTATTAATTGAAAAAAAAATCTATTTTTTAATTATATATATAACTAAAATATACTAATTAAACTAAAAAAAGTAGTTTAAATTTAGGTAACTTTAATTGAGTTTTCACCTTTTTACATTTAAAATATAAATTCTTTCAACTATTTTGTTTGATTTTCATCATTCTTAAAATGAATACATTAACAAAATTTGGAAACATAAGAAAACATGTAATTATTGCTATTAGTAATTGTACAATAATTTAAACTACTTGGGAATATAATTAATATTTTCTATGAGATTCGTATTAAATTCTCTACGTTTTTCAATTAAAATCACTGATTTTTTTAAGAAAACATTTCTATTGTTTTTCCTATATCATTTACCAATTTCATTTCCATTTAGGCTGAACAGACAGAGCTGAATAAGATATTTTTTACATTTTTTCATTGTTAATATTGAAATTTCATAATTTTTAGCTACAATTCTACTATTTACATTGTAGTAAAGATATAAATGTAACATTTAAATAAGTTAATTTCATGTTTTTATAATATATTCAATGTGGATGTACGAAAGGAATGAATACGTTTTATACAGGATTTCACGTGGGGTTGGACCCAATTTACGAGGGTGGCTTGTATTTTTTTTCTTCGTTCATTTCGGCCGAAGAAAAATGCGATTAATAAATGTTCATTAAAGCAAGATCTATGCACGTCTTCCGCCCAGAGATAGATTTATAATAGTTAAAGACGGTTGTTAGGGGATGACTAATGGTCGTCGACTCTGCTGCTCGTAAACTATACGTACGTACCCGCCATTCATATTTTATATTATGAAATGAAATACTAAAAAGAAACGAGATTCTGCGACTATGAATTATATGTTTATTTCTGTACAACTAATACAACACATATTAACAGTTTATTTCTATATCGAATATTTAGTTAATTTTTTAAAAATTGTAGATTAGTAAATTATTGAAAATAACTTGTAATACATATACATAATAAATGTGAATCTAATTTACAATTACAATTTTTGAAATAATTGATGATTAATTAAATTTAAATCGGAATTTTTAAGTTTCTAAAATTCTACATAATTATAAAAGTTAAGATCAAGTCTAAATTGTAAAAAAAATCCCTTAATCTATACTGAGAATTGTTGTGTCCAACCACTAAATTATAGATCATTAACAGAATGAATATGCAGAGTAGGCAGATCCCACGGAAGACAGTGACCGTTTGCGCTTCTTCGTATTTTCAACTGATAACAAAACTGCTGAATCGACAGATCACACGGAGAACAGTGACCTGAAGTGGAGCATCTTTTTACAAAACGTGCTTTACTCCTCAAACTCCCACCCCGTCCATATTAATACAAATTAACTTCGTTAGTAAAATATATAATTGTAATTAATCTTAGTCGATCTGTAAAAGTAATACATTGTCTTGGAAGAGTACTAATTATTAAAATAAACTTGTTAAAACAAATTGAATTATTTACTTCCAACAACTGAGACTCCAAAACGACAACACCAGAAGAAAATATTCCACTGTGTCCAGAATTTCATCCTTGGGACACGACAGAATGTTACATTTCCTAATATTTGTTGAAATTTTATATATTACATCCATATATATTAGAATGAGCACTTCAGCACGCCACTATAGCCAAATTTGCTAGAACAACGGTGTCATTCTAACATACCACCAAAATCGAACTACGGCCTCACAGATACTCCAAAGAAGTCTGAATAGTATAGAACATTGGTTTAGAAAGTGGAGAATTAGGGCTAATCAAACTAAGTCGGTGCATGTAACGTACACAATGCGTCGACAAACTTGTCCACTCGTTACACTGAATGGAAGAGCCCTACCACAGGCTGATGATGCTAAGTATCTTTGAATGCATCTGGATCGTCGACTCACCTGGAAAAAGCATATAACGACAAAAAGAAAACAGCTAGGACTGACGGTAAAAATATTGCATTGGATGATGAGTAGATACTCATTCATCTCAGCGGAAAACAAAGATTTAATATATAAAACGATAATAAAACCGATATGGACTTATGGATTGGAACTATGGGGATCTGCTTGTAATACAAGTATTGACATCATACAGCGGTTTCAGTCAAAAACGCTCAGAGCAATTGCCAATGCTCCCTGGTTCTTGACTAACGAATACATACATCAATACACTGGAGTCCGATTTGTGAAGAATGAGATAACGAAACTCAGCAGCAAATACCAAAATCGGCTGGAGGACCATTCAAACCAACTTGCCTCTGAGCTTACACACACTGAATCTCATCGACGAAGATTGAAACGATTCAAACCACAGGACCTTCCCAATCGCTTTTAAAGTTAGTGTTAGTGATTTTTTTCTTTAATAAGCACTCTGTTGAATTTGGTCACTGGATCAATCTCCAATATATATTTTTTCTCACTATTAAGCCAAGAACTAGAGCATGTTAACTGTCTTTTTATTGTAGATAGATTGCTTTGTAAATAATTAAAAAAAAAAATAATGAGCAGTATAACTGAAATTAACTGAAAATTACAACAGTTTCAAAATAATTGAATATGTGTGATGGAGCGCCCCCACGCTTCCACCCTCGAAATGAACGAGGGGTTGAACTGTAATTCCAGTTTAGATTTCAGCGTGGATCGAGGGGTTGTCGAGACGCCCACCCATAGAGTGCACTAGTTTACCCCTGCGTACAAAAAAAAAAGCGGCTATTGATTTTTCCATAATGCGTGCGATTCTGTTGCGGTGGGTGTCGTTTTTGGAAAAGCGCGCATAATATCGCGTATCAAAACGGGAAGAGAGGAAAAAAAAAAGGAAAAAAGAAAACAGAGAACGACGAGAGGGAAGTGTGCACACGGTGTGGAGAGCGGAGCAAAAACGAGCGGTGCAAGTTTCTGAAGCGGAGATGAGGAGCGGCGTCGCGACGCTAGAGGTGGTGGTTTCGGCGGTGATGATGGTTGCACAGCAGCAGCTGCCGCCCGTTGCGTAACACGTTGAGTAACGATATACGAACACGATGGTGGGAATTCGCGAGCCGCGTGCCTCTGTGTCGACGTCGTCGTCAGCGTCGTCACCATCGCCAACGTCGTCGTCGTGTGACGTCAGTGCCGTCGCGTCGCGGCGCTAACATCGGCCATGATGTCCGCTATTCGATTTTTCGACGCCTCCAGTGCGATACATGAATTAGTTTACAACCGAGTCCCGACCGAGTGCGAAGGTGTTTTATGCGGCTGAAAGAATCCATCGGGGAGGAAACGATGGTAGGCATGGCGAACATGGAGGAGCACGAGCGGAAAGTGGTCATGGAGTTCTGCCATTTACTCGAGAAGTCGAAACAACTCTTCAACGGACTGCGGTAAGAAGCATCATCATCATCATCATCATCATCATATGAAAAAAAAATCGTGACCTCTTTTTCTCTTGTTCATCCTCCTTGCAGTGATCTGCCGCAGTACGGACACAAACAGTGGCAGGCCTACTTCGGCAGGACCTTCGACATATACACGAAGCTGTGGAAGTTCCAGCAGCAGCACAGGCAGATCCTCGACACCAAGTATGGTCTGAAGAGGTGGCAAATCGGTGAAATCGCTTCGAAGATTGGACAACTCTATTATCATTACTAGTAAGTGCATCACACAACAATAAACGTACATCTCTCATAAACAACACAATTATTTTTAGCCTGAGGACGAGCGAGACGAACTACCTGAACGAAGCGTACTCCTTCTATGCGGCAATCCGGGGCAGAGCTTACTACTCGAGAGCAGCAAAGGAAGACAGGTATTTATTTACACACCAATCACACACACACACACACATCGTGCATGCACATACAAACAGTCGGCCGCGGTAATTGCATACATAAGGAGCGCTCATTCATGATTCACCACTCGATTAGGTAATTCCCCACGAGGTATACACCCTGATTCATAACACATAATATAACAAAACAATCTAAAGTTTCATCTTACATTCATCCAATTATTATTACTCTAAACTTAAATTAAATCTACATTATCTACTTAATAATAATTAACTTTTTTTTTAAACTGCATAAAACTAAATTGCACAAATATGTAATAACGATAAACTTTTCAATAAATATGAATTTTCATATTATGATTGAAATAGTTATAATTTTTGATATTTTTGATAATTCATATTTCTGTACACAATAGTTTTCAAATTACTTTGAATTTGAAAACTATTGTATATTTACTAACAAGTAAATAACAATAGTATACTAAATATATATATATAGAAAACAAATACAAATTATAAACAAATTCAATAGAAAAATGAAAGCTAAAATATTATTGATATTTGTAAATTTTAGAAAATATACTAAAAGTGAATATTTTCTTAAATTCGTTAATCTTATATTAAAACTGATGAATTTACTTTGTTAAACTATTTGAACTAGTAAAAATATGATTTGAATTTCATAAAGTATAAATTTTAATCTATTTTTTTTTTCTAATTACAAATTAGGTTTAGCAGTTGCAAGCAAATTGAAATTTTAAAAAAATCTAATTATAATTATTGAATTTCTTGCGTTGTTTTTCATTTCTTAGTAAAAAATAAAGTTAAATTTATAGTAAATGATGCAAATATATTGAAAATTGTAAATTATAATCAAATATTGTAAATGCAAATTTACAACGTTTCAAAATTAGGAAACAATAAAGTCCAATGACTAATTTAGAAATTCTTAAATTATTTATACGAACACGAAACTACACGAAGTTCTCTTTAGTTATTATTAATTTTTAATTTCGAAACTGAAAGTCTGCAAAAAATAATTTTAATTAAACCAAAAAGTTATAAAACTTGTACATTTTAGAAAACAAATGTGTAATTATCGTTTAAGTAATGCGTTTTGATGTTAACATGATTTCTTAATAACAAATTACTTTGAATTTGAAAACTATTGTATATTTACTAACAAGTAAATAACAATAGTATACTAAATATATATATATATAGAGAAAACAAATACAAATTATAAACAAATTCGATAGAAAAATGAAAGCTAAAATATTATTGATATTTGTAAATTTTAGAAAATATACCAGAAGTGATTATTTTCTTAAATTCATTAATCTAATTATATTAAAACTGATGAATTTACTTCGATTATTTTGTTAAATTATTTGAACTAGAAAAAAATATGATTTGCATTTCATAAAGCATAAATTTTAATCTATTATTTTCTAATTACAAATTAGGTTTAGCAAGCAAAGTGAAATTTAAAAAAAAATAATTATAATTATTGAATTTCTTAGTAAAAATAAAGTTAAATTTATAGTAAATGATGCAAATATATTGAAAACTGTAAATTATAATTAAATATTGTAAATGCAAATTTACAACGTTTCATAATTAGGAAACAATATATTTATCTTTATAGTCAACAATAAAGTTCAATGACTAATTTAGTAATTCTTAAATGTTTTATAGAAAACTACACGAAGTTCTCTTTAATTATTATTACTTTTTAATTTCGAAGCTGAAAGTCTGCAAAAAATAAATTCAATTAAACCAAAAAGTTATAAAACTTGTAAATTTTAGAGAACAAATGTGTAATTATCGTTTAAGTAATGCGTTTTGATGTTAACATGATTTCTTAATAACAAATTACTTTGAATTTGAAAACTATTGTATATTTACTAACAAGTAAATAACAATAGTATACTATATATATATATATAGAAAACAAATACAAATTATAAACAAATTCAATAGAAATATGAAAGCTAAAATATTATTGATATTTGTAAATTTTAGAAAATATACTAGAAGTGATTATTTTCTTAAATTCATTAATTTAATTATATTAAAACTGACGAATTTACTTCGATTATTTTATTAAATTATTTGAACTAGAAAAAATATGATTTAAATTTCATAAAGCATAAATTTTAATCTATTTTTTTTCTAATTACAAATTAGGTTTAGCAGTTGCAAGCAAATTGAAATTTTAAAAAAATCTAATTATAATTATTGAATTTCTTGCGTTGTTTTTCATTTCTTAGTAAAAATAAAGTTAAATTTATAGTAAATGATGCAAATATGTTGAAAATTGTAAATTATAATTAAATATTGTAAATGCAAATTTACAAAGTTTCATAATTTCAATGACTAATTTACAAATTCTTAAATTATTTATACAAAACTACACAAAGTTCTCTTTAATTATTATTACTTTTTAATTTCGAAGCTGAAAGTCTGCAAAAAATAAATTCAATTAAACCAAAAAGTTATAAAACTTATAAATTTTAGAGAACAAATGTGTAATTATTGTTTAAGTAAAGCTTTTTGATGTTAACATGATTTCTTAATAACTAATTTGTTAATTTATTATTAACAAATATTGAAAATGTTAGAAAACGATTTATGTAGGAATGTTGTTTTAAATATTTCAATTATATGTAAAAAAAAAATGCGATTATTTATTGAAAAAAAAAATGGAATTCAATGAAACTATTGATATTTCAATATAGTTAAAGTGTATATGAAAGCGTTTGCATTAATGAAATTGTAAACTGAGAAAACGGATAGTTCAAGTACAGCTAAAGAAGCTAATTCCTCGGGATTGTGCGCTCGTTAAACTTGATTTCATCTCGAGTTCAAAAAATTATTTATGTTTCCATAACAGTTCTTCGCTTAGCGAAAGGTCGGCCAACATAAATTGGTGTTGGCTGTCAACCAGGTCCCAAAAATAATTGGAGTGCAGAAGAAGAGAGTATATAAATTATACGACATACATTCGCTTGCACTATTTCCAGTTTTATAAATGGATGAAGAAGCTCTCTCCTCTCGTTTCCTCCTGCTTCTACTACTATTACTACTACTCATCCTTCTAGTCCTTGTTCTTTTTTAGTATTATTTTGGTCTACATCCTTTTTAATAATGCCCGGGTATCGATTATCTCTCCATACGTTGCATTTATCTTTCGGAAACAGATAAAACATTGTGTGCTACAGAAAAAAAAAATAGAAATAAAGAATAGGAGAAGAGAAGAGAAAAACAAGTCGGAAGAAAATAGGTCGTTAGGAGATAGTTTATTAATGCGCCGATGTGGATCTATCCGCGAAAAGCTCTTCCAATTGTCCAACCCCACAAACAGAAATCGCAACATTCTCAGATTCTTTTTTTTTTGTCCCCCCCCCATTCCATTCTCGTAAGTTTCGTAAGTTTTCTGATACGGTTGCAACGATATCGTTATTGAGTGACCCCATTCAAAGTTTTCTATCTAAGTATTTATACAACATGCACTGGAATATATATATATATATATATAAGATACGATACATATTAGACTTTTTTTTCGTGAAAAGTTTCTTTCGTACAAACCAATTAGTCGCGACACGTTTTAAGTATAACACGAGACAAAAAAACGCGTTTCTTTTCGCCACAATTGAATTAATTGGATGTAACAACTATTTACTTTTTGTTATGAAATGTTTAAGTGAGTTTTGCCCACGAAAATAATTCGATTATGTATTTTTCTTTCTTAATCCAATACTGCAATGTCCGCATTTACTTGCATTTATTTTTCTTTCTTTCGCGTCATTGAAATTGGATATATATTCTGAGAATAATTTCAGACAAAAATACGTAATTCCAAGCAAAGCCGATTTAAAGAGAAGACGAAAAAAAAACAAACAACAATTGCGAAGAGAATTCTTATTTTTATCACGATTTTCATTTAAAACATTTAGACTTATAATACATTTGATACATTTATTTGTAATTTAGTGATTTTCTCAGAAACTATTATACATAGAATAGATTCAAAAGATGCATGTGAAATATGAATGTTTGGAGAATGCAGCGAGTATTAATTTATTGCTGTGGTGTTACCCGTTTGTGATTCACGTTAAAAAAATGAAATTTTGAGAAATTAACGCTCGAAAAAAGCAGCATTTTCACATTTTACTGACTTTCTCTATTATAGATAGAATGAATCCAAAAGATGCATATGAAAGCTGAATGTTTGGGGAATCTAGCAAGTTGGCTTTATTATATTGTTC